GCAAAGCGCAAACACAATCGGGAAAAGCCAAAATGCAGAGCGTGCTCGCTCAGCAAGTTTTTCATTAGTTTTTCATTTTTATTTCCAATTTTTCTTTGAATTTTTTTTTGTGCATCCTTTCCTATGGCTTTGACTTTGGCTTTGGCTGTGGTGAAGCCTGCGAGCTATGTGAAAAGTGTCTCATGTTTGGGAAACAATTGTGAAACATTTGAAAGGTGTTTTCGTTCGGCTGGCTTTTAATAGGCTGACAAGCGTCTTTAATTACTGCATTTAAGTGTTGAAAAACACTAACAGAAAATGTGGCTTTGAAAGTTGATTAGGCCATTAAATATACATGTATGCGGGTTGAACAATAAAACTGAAATAATTAGCTCTATAATATTATTTTTGTGGAGTAGTTAGAACAGTGAGAAAAAAGTTGTTTTCTTGACTATCGCCTGATCGTTAGCAAACTATCATTTCATTAATTAAACTTCAATTCAATTCTAAAACCCTCATCTTTGATTGTCTTTTTAGGAGGTGCGTCCGGACTCGATTCCGGACCTCAAAGTGGATGCCACATTTCGTAAGGTGCCCAAGAATGCGATCAGCTTTGCGATCTGGAAAATCGACGAGGATCGACTTGAGGCAGTGGCTCGACCACAGTACGGCACCTTCTACGACAATTGTGCGTACATCATCTATGCCGCGAATCTAGTGGGTCACTATGCCAGTCAAGAAACGATCGTAAATATTTCTGTCAATTATTTAAAAACCCTATAGACTTAACCCGCTTCATTGATCCCTTGTAGACGCGTGAACAGAAGCTGAATGTGCCGCTGGAGCGCTATATACACTATTGGCTGGGCAATCAGGTCTCCGAGCAGAATCGTTCCAATGTGGTGCACAAAATCCAAGAGCTGGACACGTATTTGGGCAATGTGGCATCGATCTATAGAGAGTCGCAGCATCATGAGAGTGCACGCTTTCTCTCCTACTTCAAGAATGGCTATGAGTGAGTTGGTTATTTATTGTCCTTTGTTCGAAATATTGATGTATAATATACTATTTCGTTTTTTCAGTGTTCTATCCGGCAGTTTGTTGAATGCACCGAAGCATACGCGTCTCTTTCAGCTCTACGGCCGCAAATGGTTGCGTGCCATTGAGCTGGCGACCGTTGATTGGACGCACTTCAATTCGGATTACATAATGGTGCTGCTAATGGACACCATGACATTCGTCTGGATTGGACGCTCCAGTGCCGGTATCGAGCGACGCAGCGCTCTGGCCTGGGTGCAGCGACAGCAGCGCAAGGATGTGCCGCTTTGTGTCGTCGACGATGGCTACGAGCAGTCGATGAGTGTCGAGCAGAAGGAGCTCTGGAACAAGGTGTTGCCACTGCAGCATCGCATGGTCTATCAGGCACGTCAGTCGGGCGGCGATTACGACTCCAGCAACTGCTGCGGCAACGGCATCAATGGCATCAATGGTCTCAATGGCCTCAACGGCAGCAGCAAGAGCGATGCCAATGCCAACAAGTTTCGCATTTACAAGTGCAATCAGCGCGGTCGACTGCATCTGGATCAGCTAGACGTGGGCATGCCCAGCAAGGACGATCTAAGCGATGCGAACGGTGTCTATTTGCTCGACAATTTCGGGCAGAGCATTTGGCTGTGGGTGGGCGCACAGGCGACCCAAGCGGATGCGCTCACTGCCATGGGCAATGGCCGCGCCTTTGTTAAGAAGAAGAAGTACCCGAACACCACTCTGGTGGTGCGTGTGCTGGAGGGCCGTGAGCCCGTGGAGTTTAAGCGTCTCTTTGGCAACTGGCTCAGCGTTTGGCAGGATAATACACGCGGCCACAAGCCCGTCTCCACCAAGTTTGGCAAACTGGATGCCGTTCTGCTCGGGGAGCGACCCAAGATGGCTGCCGATACGCAGCTGGTCGACGATGGACGCGGCGAGCGCATCATCTATCGCATCTGCGGAGACGAAATGGAGCAGCTGCCACCGGCCAAAGCTACGGTGTTCACCACCAACGCCTCCTATGTGGTCAACTACACGGTGCAGGTGAGTGCGCAAACAGTGTTGGCGGTCGAATTAGTGCTGTTCGCTGAGTCTTTGGGCTCTGCGTTCAGCTGGAGTGGAAAGAAGTTGTGGGTGGGTGCGAATCGGCTTGGTGGTTTATTGTTGGAAATTATAATCATGTGGAGCAGGTCATAATTTTGACTCTAGCTTATTCAAGTCTATGAGTAGGTATACTAAGAGTGTCAAAAACTATATGACACTATATAATGATCCATTGATCAATTGATCTATTTGTTATATATTCCTCTTTCACTCAACTTCAATTATTCTTTTCTTTTTTTTTTTCAAACGCAGAGATCTTGGTATACGGAATATGAAAATATAATTATCGTATTATGCAAATTATTTATGGATGACCATATATCCTCTCTCATTCTTTTCCTGCAATTTCATATGTGTATATACAATACTTTTCTAACTCTCATGAACTCCCACTTTCACGCACTCATAATCTCTCGAAATAATTCCTTTTCATTCCTCCTCTTACAAACTAGCTATAAAGAAAACTCGCCTTTCTCTGCAATTTTCATTAATCTCCCGCAAAGGTCAACAGCTTTGTAGCTCTGTTTAGCAATGTTTTCATAGTTTATGTGGGTGAACTGTTGCATCGGCGTGTTTTATTAGCGCGATATGCAAATGTTTGTTTGGACAATTCAAGAGGTGAATGTAGGAGGGAATCTCCCCAGTCGAGTTCGCTTCGGTTTGCCATTGTATTTTAATAGACAATGTTGCAAACGCACAATAGTGAGAAAATATCGTTGCATATTATTAACCGAAATATTACGAAAATATTTCAGTGCGCCACCGTTGTGCCCGCTGATCTGGCCTCAGTGGGCATTAAGAGCATCATCTATCAGTGGAACGGCTCCGAGGCGTCAGCCGAGACAATAGCCAAGGCCGACAGCTATGCCATGGCCAGCTTCGAGTCTCTGAAAGTGCCCGGCATGTTCGTGCAACTTTACGAGTTCGATGAGACGCCACACTTCTTGCAAATGTTCGAGGGCAAATTGATAATCATGCGCGGCCAGCGCAGCGAGCTGCTGCACTCCAATAACAACCTGAACTGGGACTTTAAGACGAACATAATGCTGGAAACGTTTCTGCTGAAGATCTATGGCGATGCTAGCTACAATGCAAAGGCTGTTGAGGAGCATCCGCTCTCCTCGATTAGCTCCAAGGATTGCTATGCCATCAAGACGAACCATGTGTGGGTCTGGTGCGGCCAGAGCAGCACGGGCGATGCTCGTGAAATGGCCAAGGCTGTGGGCGCCCTGCTCGGTGAGAGCTCCCTGGTGCTGGAGGGTAAGGAGAGCAAGGAGTTCTGGCAATCGGTGGCCATGTACTTCAACCAGTCGCTGGTCATCAACGGCCAGTCGTGCTCGAGCAGCACCACCAGCAGCAGCAGCAGCGGCGCCGGCAGCATGTGCAACGGCAGCAACAATAGCAACGGCAATGGCACTGGCAACATCTCCCCGACACTGAGCAACAATTGCTATTTGAATACAACGATGCCCAGCAAACCGCGTCCGCCGGTGCAGCTCTTCCTGGTGTGGTGGGAGCAAAGACACTTGCGTTGCGAGGAGATACTCGGCTTCGAGCAGCGGGATCTCAGCGGCGACTGCACATACATACTCGACACGGGCACCCTGGCCTATGTGTGGCTGGGCGAGCATGCGGTCAGCCAGGAGCGCGAACGCTACACAACCGTGGCGCAGAGCTATGTGCAGAATGCGCCATTTGGCAGGCGCGCGGCCACGGCGCTGGCTGTGGTGCGTCAGCATGCGGAGCCGAATGTATTCAAGGGTTTCTTCGAGACCTGGGACAATGAGCTGGGCAAGGTAGAGATTGCTTAACCAAATATGCATATCTATTTATATAGATCCGACTTAATTTATGCTTGTCTTTCCCTACAGGGTTTTGTGACCTACGAGCAAATGCGCCAGAAACTGGCCACCACAGCGCCCAGCAATGGCCTCAAAGAAGGCTCCGCTTTAATCCTAAACAACAACCAAAAGGATTTCGATGGTCACAAGAAGTATCCGTTGCCAGTGCTGGTGCAGGAAATGGATATGCTACCGCCCGAAATCAATCCGCTGAGACGCGAAGTTAGTCGCACTGAAAAATAATAATAAAAGCAATTATATAATCACTCATATTTTTTCTCATCCCCTTAGGTTCACCTCACGCATGACGATTTCGTCTCCGTCTTTAAAATGTCCTTTTATGAGTTTGATGAGTTGCCCAAATGGAAGAAGCAGGAACTAAAAAAACTCTATAAATTATTTTAAGCAATCAATTTTAAATTGTTTTTAGCACACACTCACACTTTTACACATACCCTGTAAATAGTACGTTTTAAATGGCTTTCTTTACTTATCTGGAATAGTAATAAAGCAATTTTAGGTATATTTTATCCTTCGTAGATTATATATTTAAGCACCGTGTTTTATGAATATTAATACGAAATTATATCATGCAAAATATAAAACAACGTGTTTTGCTATATCTTATATATACGTATTTATATACATATATAGCCAGATATGTGAATATTATTAAGTCGTAGTTTCCACCTCCGACGAATCTGGTGCATCGTCATCATCATCAGAGCCTAAGGAAAGTCTGCTGGTATTAATCGATATTTAGAGACAGCTCAACTTACTGGGAAATATTAGACCCATGATGAAATCAAATATGCCGCCCAATAGATCCCAAAACATATTCTACTCGTCAGACTAAACGTGCTGTAACTAAGCCACAGCGATTTTTCATTTGAAATATTTCGTTTGTGTGCGACAGAGCTCATTTAATGAGCCGTAAAGTTAGCCCTAATCAATCACGATTATATCGCAATTATATTTACCGATGCACACGAACTATTAGGTCAATGGCATGCTGATTCAATTCCTTCGAAAAATGAAATTATATTACAATTGCTGTTCAAAACAAATTTATTAATAGATTGCGTAGATGTCGGACATTTTTAGTTGTAATAATAATCATCATAGTATTCTCCAAAGTATTCCTCATCAGCTAATGCATGGAGAGAGAGAAAGAAGGAGTTTCTAGATTATATATAGAGAATCCATATATATACATATACAAACAGATCTATATAGATCATCTTGACTTACTGATATCCGAGAAAAACAGATCGTTAAGAAAGGCCACAAATATCTCCACAATGGCGCAGCAATCCATTTTGATAAAGTTTTAAAGTACTTCCATGATTTTCACCAGGCTTTTTATAGCTTGAATTATACTATTTGTTTTTTTTTTTTTTTTTTTTTTACTTTTTACTCTTTTTTAGCAATTTAATTAATGTTTATTTTTATTGTTCCGTCATCGTTGGGCTACTTGAACACCTTTTTAATTGTAATCGTCGCTGTCATCCGCTGGCCAAAGATAGTTTTATATTATTATAAAATATATATTATTTTCAATAATTGTTCTTACAGCCAAACAATATATCGCCTATGAATTCAAATATAATGCCGATAATTTCACAATCCTCCATGTTTTGCACGCTGAGAAAAACTTGACCCAACTTAAAACCCAAAGCGATTTGGCTTCATATAAATCCAAAAAATTTTATTTTTTTTTGCATTCAACCTTGAAAAATATCCATAAAAGTTGATGTGCAAAATTAATTTAATTAAAAACAATTATAGAAACAAATTGGTTGTTTAATAATCCATTGCAATAATTGCCCTTGGCGTAGTCTTAAAACTTAATTTTATTGAACTTTTTTGAGCTTTAATAAAAAAATAAAGCGAAACTAATATACATCGTAGCCATACAACGGCGCCTCCATGAACGCCTTTTGCTGATCCATCGAATTACGCCGTATTCTACGTCCGATGGGCTCCAGATCCGCATAGCACTTAGGAAAGACACGCTCGACGGCAGCTACGGCCTGCTCATGGGTTACATTTCTCACAGCCAGCACTGAGGCCAAGGCTTTGGATTTGACACAGTTCTGGAAGATTTCATTTGATAAGGTTTAGCAAATGTGTATAATATTTAAAGAAATATAACAGTTGTTTTTTACAAACAAACAAAAAAATAATAATAATAATAAGCAAATAAAACGTACTAGTTTTATAGGTTCTAAAATCGAGACTTATACAGATCTAACACCCATATTTACAAATTCCATATATTCTCAATTCTCATTTGATATACCTGATGAGCTTCCTTGACATTAAAGGGCGACGCATCGCCCTGCATCATGGCACTCAGGAAGGAACAGTGAGCCAGATTTGCGGCACGTATTTCCGTACATGCCAGATGATCCACATTGCGGAAATCCAAATCGTTATTGCAGTAGTCGAACATATGAATCATTTCGTGGGTGAGCACACCATGCACCATGCTCTTGTTTTTCGCCATATTTTGGCAGACAACAATTTGATTGAGCACAGGATCGTAGCCACCGGTTACACTGGGATCGCACACCTCGCAGGAAATGTGACGCCGCAGATCCATGGGACAGCCAGAGCTGCGAAGTGCCCCCATCATCAGCTTCACCAGTGGGCCATTCTTCACACACCAGTAGACATTCTGTTCACACTTGTAGCGATCGATGTTCTCCTGACCCTCCATACCGAACAGTATGCGCGACCATTTAGGCTTGAAGGTTTCGCCGCGACGTTCCGGATAGAGATCATAACCCCATTCTTTACGCTCCGTTTTGGGTTGCTCAGCGTCTGGCTTTGTGTCCGGCACGGGCTTTTCATCTGGCACTGCGGCATCTGCTGGAGCCGGATCTGTTGCCGCAGCCGCTTTGGCCCAAACTTGTGTCAGGAAACCCATATTTACTGTTATTCAAGATATATGCTACCAAACTAAGACTGGACTAAGTTAAATAACAAACCGGCAGCTGATTGTCAGAGTTGCCAGTGCGCGCAAATTAATGTGTCCACACACGCTACAATATGGATATCAGCATAAGTTGCCATCTGATCTACACACATGCAACTAGTGTAAGCAAACAAGTAGCTACAACTACTTAAAAATGTGCTGACACATGTTTGGCATACTACAAGTGACTGCAGTATATTTATTTAGTATTTCTTAGTCATCTCTATTGTATCCCATCTACAAGTTCTAGACGAAGTGTCGAAATCCACATTCTGACGTGTGTGACCCACATTGAATAACTGCTGTGTTGCGCTGTAAGTCAGATTTGGTATTTTTGCAGCAACAGCTTGCGGCACACTTAATTGCAGACCGGCATTTACGAGTGTAAAATTTCCACGTAATTCTTTAGCAAGTGCGCGGACTCTGTTTTTAATATGCAGCAAAAATGTTTACAATTACTGTTACTAGCTTTATTTGTATATGCATTAACCGGTGTTCAAGGCATTGATGTACCACGGCCTCGCGGCGTTTCTTTAGTGAAGGCTCCGCTCTACCAACCGCAACCGGATGGAAAATGGAATTGCATCGATGGAAGCAAAACAATACCATTTACGCAGATAAATGATGATTACTGTGATTGCGCCGATGGCAGCGACGAGCCCGGCACCGCGGCCTGCTCCAAAGGACAATTCCATTGCCTCAATACCGGCCATCAGTCCGTTGACATTCCTAGCTCTCAGGTGCAGGATGGAATCTGCGACTGTTGCGATGGCAGCGACGAACTGGAGGAGTCGCAATGTGAAAACACTTGCCTTGCCTTAGGTGCCGCCGCCGCCATTCAGCGTCGCAACGAAGCTGAGCTGCATATGAAAGGGGCCGAGAAGCGGCAGGAGATGATCAACCGGGGCAAGCAACTGAAAGCGGATCGATCAGCACGTCGTTCCGAACTGAATGCGCGCATCAAGGAGCAGGAATTACTCAAAACTGAAAAGGAGCACCTTAAGGCCACTGCCGAAGCGCTAGAAAGTGAGGCCGTGGAAGCTTTCAAGGAGCAACAACGGGAACTAGATGCGGTCACGGCGCAGGCGGAGCAGGAGCCACAGCAAATGCGACAAGAGGCGTCGCTCACTTTTGTGCGCTACGATACCAACAAAGATGGCTTCGTGGAGATCACCGAACTGATGGTGGACATGAATCTCGATCGGGATCGCAATGGAGTTGTCACTGTGGAGGAGGCCAAGTATTTCTTGGACGAACGCGATCGCATGGACCTGGATGCCTTCATCACCCTGGCCTGGCCACGTATCAAGCCACTAAAAATGTTAGCTGATGGACTGTTCCAGCCACCAGTCCCCACGCCAGCGGAGGAGCGAGCGCCTCAGCAGGACAACACAAAAGAAGCCGAGCAACTGGATCCGGAGCCAACTGGAGGTGAGCAAAAAAGAGATTTGAGTAAATTGATTTTACTTAATCTTTAACTTGCAGAACATGCGGACATGGATGTGCCCGATGAGGAAGACGGCGAGGATGAGGAACAGTACGATGATGAGGAGCCCGATGTGGGCGTTGGCGAAGCTACGCCAGATGTAGAGACAACCACAGCGGCGCCCATCTACGATCCGGAAACCCAGCGTCTGATCGAACAGGCGAACGAGGCGCGCAATGCGTACGAGGAGGTGGCACGACAAATACGTGAAATCGAGCACGAAATCAAAGAACTGGATGAACAGGAGGGCAAAGACTATGGACCCAATGAGGAGTGGTCAGTGCTGGATGGCGAGTGCTACACCTTTGAGGATCGTGAATATGTGTACACACTATGCCCCTTCGACCGGGTGTCGCAGAAGCCGCGTAACGGCGGTGCCGAAACTACTTTGGGTCGCTGGGATCAATGGGTAGGAGAGGGCGCCAATAAATATAGCAAACAAAAGTATGCACAAGGCGCCGCCTGCTGGAATGGACCGCAGCGCTCGGCCATTATCAATATCAAGTGTGCATTGGAGCCGCGCATCACGTCGGTTAGCGAGCCGAATCGCTGTGAATACTATTATGAATTTGAGACGCCCGCCGCTTGCGATCGCGATGCCTACACAGCCTCTGCACAGAGCCAGCACGACGAGCTTTAAGTGAAACAATCTAGCTAAAACGTTGATTTGGAGCAAACAATCTTTGGAATGTATTCTAGTTTTAAAACAAACAACAAAGTGAGAAGAGAAATAGGAAGAACGATAGGGAAGTTAATTGAAATGTAAAGTGATTTGCTGATCATTCCCCATAGGTGGCGCTCATCATTGTGCGAATCAGTCGTAGACAAATATTATTCAGCGTATGCATTTAAGCCAAGTAAAAAGTTTCATTTTTTAAATATACACATATACTACTACATTCGTAATTGTACAAAAGCGTTTTCATGGCTCTATTACGGCCAGTTTGATTTCCTCCAAGTAGTCATCCACTTGGTGCTCCAGCGCCAGAATGTGTCCCGTGTTGCAGTCCTCGGCGCCAACGAATGTCAAAATCAATGGCAATTTGTTCATTTGCACCACCTGTCGGAGAAGAGTTGAAACTTGATATGCTTATAACTGTTTGTATGCATGGCCTAAATTAGAGTACTTTGTACACGACAATCTTACAATTCTAATTCACTCACTCACAAATCCCCCACCCACCTGATAATTGGAGTACATGGAAATAATTGTTTTATTGCGCCCCAGGCCCAGTTTGCTGGCCTGATCACAGGCTGTGGTAAATGTGGGTATAAACGACGGCATCAATGCGAAATCCACATTCTTCTCCTGGCTGTTGCTGACCCGTAGGAGTGGCACTCCATCTCGGTCCGCTATCTGTATGACGTAGAGACCGCTGACCCTGCAACCAAAATGCAATTTTTAATCAGCAAGCGAGCAATTGTTGCTAAATAGAAAACTTACTTCTGCAGCAAATCATTGAAGTACTTCTTGATGTCATCGGACATTGCACACTTAACAATAAAAAATATATATTAGAATTTTATCTTCTCCGCGAAACAAAACAAAAATAATAAAATTGCCTAAATCTAGTTTTTTCTTCAAAATACCAAACTCTAGTCAAAATACTCAAGCTGTTATTTGAAGATCCCTGAGATAACAGAACTTTACAGTAAACAAAAAAGGTAATTAAGATATAAATAATTATTTTATGTTGTTTTTATTTTTTTAATTTTAATTTTAAAACATACGAACATAAAAATATATCAAAACAATCAAAGGGCGTAAATTTGCCCCACAAATAAAATACCAATTCCGTACAGAACCAAAACAAACAAAAATTGTCTAAATTAGACATAACGGCTATATAAATACTAATCCCAAGGCAAGACAATGTACGTGTATTGTTTTATTTGTTAATGTTTAACTAGCTGATTTAATAATATAAATTGTTTATTAAACACTCTGTTAGGGTATCCGATACGATGGCTGGTAGTACAACTAATGCCAGAAATGATAAATCCAGTTTGGATAGTGATGACGACTACACATCTGCCATGTCACATCTGACCATTAGTCTGCAAATACAGGAGCTCTCGAAACGTCTGCAGAACACCACCGAGGAACTGCATCAGCAGGTGCGTGACAAGCATAGCGCATTGCTGCAGCAGGCAACACACGCCGGACGCTTCGATGCAGCACTCAACTCGCTGGCCGAGGACGTGCAAAGGGTTCGAGCCACAGGACATCGTCTAAAGAGCCAAGTTGATGGTCAATATCAGTTAGTGGAGAATCAGACCCAAGTGCTGGGTCGACTGCATGACGTATCACACCTGCTGCGCTCTGCTGGCACCTTGCTCACGCTGACGGCAAAGCTAAAGAACACGAAAGATGTGTTAAGACAAGCGGAGCTGCATTTCGAGCTGGGACAGTTGATAGAAGACAAGGATCTGAAGGATATTGAGTTTATACAAGAGGAACGTGCCTATGTGCTAAGCTCTAGACAAAAGATACGCAACCTCACCCAGATGCAGCTGGTCACCGGCCTGCAGGAGCGCAACCAGACGCAAGTGGTGAATGCTTTAAAGGTAATCTTATTGCTAAAGTCTGTCCAATATTCGAAATCCCTTTAAAATTCTTATGCAGATATTTATGAACTTCAACACGCTGGAGAAATCTCTTGAAAATCTGCTTGCCACATTCATCGCCGACATGGAGCAATCGCTGAAGGAGTGCTTCGCAGGCACTGATATATCCGTGCTCAATAAAGCGGATGCTGTGCGCTCGCCCACCCATGGTAGCAGTAGCTCAAGCAAGTCTCAGGCTAGTCGAGGGCCTGGCAAGGCGCCACAGTTAACTACAACGCAAAATTTTCGCGCCAAGTTTTGGAAATCGCTGCACTGGCTGTTATACGATGAGCTCTACGAAAGCTGCACCCAGATTAAGCTTCTGAAAATGTCGCTGGAGCAAATTAATCAATTTGGCTACACCAATGAATCATCAGACCAATGCATTCCACAACGCTTCTGGCAGCGCGTGCAGCAGCTGTTGCGCAAATCCTTTGACGAGTGTACCCAACATGTTAACCAGACCCTGCAGGAGGGCTTGTCCAAGCTGCTCACTTCGGCACGCGGACTTGAACAGCGACTGAACAATGAATTCCAATTTGATAACGAACTCTTTGCGCCGCTAGAGGTGGGCTACGTGAGTAAGTGTGCCGCCAATCTTAAAGCCTGCTTGGCTGGCGTAGATTTGCCGGGCAATGAGACCGTGGATAACTTCATAAGAGTCGCCTCCTCGGAGCTGAGCGCTGCATTGATCGATAGCCGGCTTAGCGTCGCGATAGCGAATGTGTTCGTTGCCTGCGGCAAGGAGTTATGTACCAAACTCGAGGCACAGATCAAGCTAGGCGCCGATTCCAAGCAAATTGTGGACTTGCCCAACTTGCAGCAACAGCAGAATACGCAGCTGGCGAATGTACTGTACTACTATAAGGACTCAGTGCGCCGCATGTTGAGTGATCTCCAACTGCAGTTCGAGCGGACGCCAGGTGCTGCACGTACGATCATCGCTCGCTCACTGGATCAGGCGGATTTGTTGATTGGCACCATATTGCAGCAGATTATGGAGTCGATTATCACAGCCATTAGCATCATTATCCTAAGCATGCATCGGGAGCCGGGACTCAATACGGATCGATTATCGACAACGGGGCCATCCATGTACATGAAGGAGCTGCAGGTAAGCAGAATGTGTGAATAATTGAATACATCTCAAACGTTTGTTCCCATTTTGCAGGAGTTTGTCACCCGGTCGTGGTCGCACCACATTGAACTCTTCGATGATAAAGAAATGACTGGCAAATGTGGCCAGGAGCTGGCTAAGCGTTGCATCGAGCTCTTCATCCACAACCTGTGCATACTGCGGCCATTGAGCGCGGCGGGCCGGCAGCGTCTGAAGCACGATTGTCAGCACATGGAACAGGCATTGAAACCTCTTTGTCCCAATCTCGCGGAGCTGGGCAAACCCTCGCGTTTACTCCGCGCAATGTCATTGCTGATTGTGCAAAGCCCTCAGGAGCTGGTGAAGCAGTCAGTGGGAGCGGATTCGCTGGTACCAAGCTATGTGGTACTCCTTCTCATGTTTGGCCATGCCGGAGCCGAACTCCAGTCACCGCACACAACTGCAAATTGGTCGAATGAACGCCTGATTGAATGGCTGGATGGGCATACGGCTGAGCGCGAGAAGTTGGAGTTGATATCGGGTGCACTGCAAAGATATCGAGATAATGCCAGGCGCAAGAATATTCAACAATATGATGAGATATATCCCATGATGCTGGATTACTTTGAGCAGGCCTTGAAGGCAATCAGTGTATAATCTATTCATTGCAAGTTTGAAATATGTATGTATCTAATAAAGTATTTTACTTGACTACCTAACTGTTATCTATTTTAGATATATTTTATATTACAATCGCGAAATTATTAATTAAATAACGCAGCAATTTCAGAATACGTTGACATATTTTCAATAGCGGCGATTTCTCATTCAAGCAGTGTTTAATATTTAAACTGCACACTCAAATATTTATCGAAGTTCTTGGCTATTCGTTACTCGATATTTTTGACGATAGCTTGCTCGAACTATCGACATTGCTCATTACATTAAGTGACATCACTGGCTAGATACACCATTTTGTTTGAGAGGAAAAAATCGTGTAAAACGGTTTTGCTGTGTTAAATCGGACTGTTAAAGTAATTATTAGTAATAATATAATTGTTAGGCAATAACAATGGACAACATTGAACGACTTTATAAATGTTACGAAATATTATCCGAGGCGGGTGATAAAATAACTGAGGTAAGCGCCATTAAAAAAACGCGTCAAAATGAACGGCAGTTGCCAATGTGCGCGTATAAATGTGTGTGTGTACACATTTGCCAACCGCGCCGGCGCTAGTTGAGTATAATGCAAACGATTCTATTTGGATTTTTTCATATTTTCAGCATGTTGCGGAATATAAAGAGATACTACAGGCCGTAAAAGGCACATCAAAGGAGAAACGTTTGGCATCCCAATTCATTGGCAACTTTTTCAAACATTTTCCTGAACTTTCGGACACAGCAATTGATGCACAATTCGATCTATGTGAAGATGATGATACACAGGTGGGTTTACCTAACATTTGCACTCAAATACTACAATCAATTGTTGCTATGGGAGCTTTGTATATAATATATTTAACAAATATTACTGTTATGTCCTCTTTCAGATACGGCGGCAAGCTATCAAAGATTTGCCAAAGCTATGTCAGGGCAACCCAGAGGCCACCATACGCGTGGGCGACACTTTAGCCCAGCTGCTTATTTTGGACGATGCAACTGAACTGCAGCAAGTGAACAATTCTCTGCTCAGCATCATTAAATTGGATACGAAAAATGCTATAACTGGTTTATTTCAACAAATCACAACGGGCGACGAGACAACGCGTGAGCGTTGCTTTAAATTTATTGCTACCAAGCTGTTGACAATGGGCCCGAATGTCATTACTAAAGAGATTGAGGATTATATTGTGGAGGAAGTGAAGAAGGCATTGCAGGATGTGACAGCAGATGAATTTCATCTATGCATGACCATTTTGGGTGCCACCAAGCTAGGCAGCACAATAACCGGACACGCCGAGCTGGTCAGACTAGCCACAGAACAGGCTGAACTAAACACTGTCGATGCGGACACCCTAGCAGTAGATGATGAAGTCGTAGAGCGTTTTATACAATGCGCCACAGCAGCTGCACCTTACTTTTCGGTATGAAAATGGAAACTATAGCTGATAGTTGCAATTGATAAAATGATATTTAATCTTTATTTTATTTATTTATAGAAAACCATTAAATCAACACAATTTGTGGCCTATGTTTGTGACAAACTGTTGCCAATTAATACATGGAACTTGATTGCCACTGCAGTGGCACAGGATCAAATACAATTGCGTTTGCTTAAAGTATTCGCCGAGATGATAACCTACACGGACAAGCTGGATAATGCCAACGAGCGCATTAATGCCGTCTACAATGTATTATTGGTAAATATATTTATCACAGATTAACGAAAGATTTACTAATGTTTCTTTTCTGTGCTTAATAGGAATATATGCCTTTGCCAAAACTAAGCGATGAGGATACGACCGATGTGCCGCCCTCATTTCAATTCTCGCATGCTGAATGTTTGCTTTATGCATTGCACACGCTGGGCAAAAAGCATCCAGGCAATTTAACATTTATTGAGGATGCTGAAAAGTTGAAAGACTTTCGAGCTAGATTGCAGTATCTAGCGCGTGGTACACAGGGGTAACTATCTATATATAGGAAACTCACAAAAATTGTGACTTAACTTGTTTCATCTTACAGTTACATTAAGAAACTGGAGGAGGCGCTGAAAGGCAAATCAGCGGAGGAGCTAAAAACTGAGGAAAATCAATTGAAACAAACAGCTTTGAAGACCACATCCAATATAAACGTTTTAATACGCGATTTATTTCACTCACCGCCCATTTTCAAGCACGATATTGTTCTCTCTTGGGTTGTACCCAAAACTGTATGCATTGCCTCTAAACTGTCTTCAATATCAGATTTAAACATAAGTTTATTCGTAGAACAAGCTGGGAAAACGCCATGTACCCATCACATTTGGCGACAAGGGCACCGCAAATGGGAATCAGGAACAGGAGCAACAGGATAAGAAAGCGCGGCCATCCAATGAACAGAAATTCTATTCACCACCATCGGGCAAATACTCTGGCAAAGTGAATTCCAACTATGGAAACAACAATCGCACGCGTCAACGAGGTGGAGGCGGTGGAGGTGGCGGAGGCAACTTTAGGAATCGACGATACAATAGATATTAGATGTACCAGATATAGCCAACAATCCACTTTTACATCCTAGTCGTTAAACAACAAAAAACTGAAGAAACTACATAAAACAAACAAGAACTTAAGGAGATATTATGATTAGAGATTTGCTCTAACAGCGTTCCGCGTTTAATAAACAACTATAAAAAATTACACAACAACAAGGCTATAGATGAAACTTCCTTCAGCTGGTGGCGGCAGCTGCTCCAGCGATCCTGGCTTTCTATTTCAGGTGAGTATCGACTATGCTTTCCATGTAACTGTCCACTTTTGATGTATTTCAGAGCCTTCAACAGATCAACAAATATAAATGCAGTACGGTTAATAATTCTCTTATTATTTATTTGCAAATTATTTTCAAACAAAAACTCAATCACTCACAGACACACAAAAAAAAAAGGACTACAAAGATGTTTGCAAGTTTTTTTGGCGTTGATATTTTAAAACAATGTCTCACACGTAATTTTATTTCAATGAGTGGGAATGGCTGTGTGCACGTTGTTTTAACATATCAAGCTGTTTCCTTTACTCTGATCTGTCCAAAATGCTAGATGTAATAATATATAAAAATAGTTTGTAAACAACTTGCAATATCTCCTCTTAACCATATTCAAATAATCAAGTGAAATTAATGAAAAATAAGAAGTCCTCTTTCGCTATTTATATATATATTAAAGACATATGCAAGCACTCGTATTAACATTTTTGCAGAACAAGGTTTACAGACATAAACGAAAGAGTTTGTCAAATCCAAATCAATATCACAAGCATAATTATCATTTTTCTGTTTTTTTTTTGTTTGTTCATACGTATTATGCTCCACTATTGTACAACGTAGCCACAGCAAAAAAAATAATAAATTTACAGATTTTAAATTTTAATAAATCGGAAAAATAAAGTTTCTAAAGGAACAAAATATATGAAGCAATATTTTTTTATTTGTGCAGTAAATTAAATGGAAATCAAAGTAAGTATTTCTACATATTATATAAATTAATTTTGTAATGTCATGTACAAACATATATAAAGTACCGTATATGAGTTCAGGTAAGCTAAACCTGTATTCCTCAACGATTGGCCTGACTAAAATATGCCCTGTTCTCTGGATATGTGTAGCTGTTATTCGAATTATACTACGCTTTCTATTTATAACATGCACGCTATGAATTTCGGTTTACTATGGGAAATTAATTATTGAATAACTTCACTCCGATCAAGAATACATATAATCTTATCTGTCTGCTCCTGCCATTTACAATGGGCTCAGGGTAAGAATTCAGGGAAATCCCTGTGCTATTCATGCGCAAATCAAATCTAGCAGAAATATGATGTCTATTTATTATTTCTATGCCAAAGTATCACACGTTTTACTATATATCATCTACATTTACATAAATATAGACATATACATATGTACATGGTTTGGCCTTATCAAATCAAATAAATTCTGTTGAAACTCCACTTCTGCTACTTTGTGTAATATTACAAAGCCGCAAAATAAGCTTCAATATATATGCGTTTTATTTGTGTTTATTATCAATTATAAATATATATTATATATATCATCTGTCTGTGTGTGTACACATATGCGTGTGTTTCTCTATTAAACTTTTAACACAATTGATTTCAGCTTAAGCCATAATAAATGTATGATGCGCTCTTTCGCTTAACACTAAGTGGATGCACACATCTAGATGCTGGGTGGCGGCTGGTTGCCCGGCTGCTGGCTGCCAGGTGGGCCGCCAGCATTAGCGCCTCTTGTCTGATCCCGTTGCTGTTGGGCCTCAGCCACCTGAGTGGCCAGACTCTGGAACAGTTGCAGCATATCGTTAGGCATTGGCGGCACCTGGCCAGGCGCCCCGCCAGCAGAATTGGCTTGCCCAGCACCTGGTCCGCCCAAGTTGAAGAGTTGCCCGATTGTATTCATAATCATAGGATTCTGTGTCATCGACTGCAAATGCTCCAGATCGATCTCAGCGCTGCCGAACAGATTGCGCAAAGTCGGATTCGACAGCATCGCATTGAGTCCGTCGCTCAGCTGCGACAACTGGGGCGGCTGATTGCGTGCATTGCGCACCACCTCCAGATTGTTCCGGTAGTCCGCATTGTCCGGTTCCAGTTCAATAGCCTTGGCATAGGCGTGTTCGGCCTCATTGAATTTGCCCAGGTTCGAATAGGCAACGCCCAGGCGACAATACGCCTTGCTATAATTGACATTGTAGAGCAGAGCGGACTTGCAATCGGTTACGGCCCGTTCGTTGTCTCCGAGGCGAATGTGAGCGGCGGCCCGGTTACAATAGAAGATTGGGTTCTTGGGGTCGAAAGCGATGGCGCGATTGTATTGCAAGAGCGCCTCATTGTATTTGCCATCTTTCATTAGGCGATTGCCTTCATTCTTAATGGACTCGGCCAGAGCCAACGATTCGGGATTACGTTCAATGTAAAGCGATTGGAAGAGCTCAAACATATCAATGTTCTTTGGATTGACAGCCAGCTGGTTGGCACTGCTCGATGGATTGGCATCGCCAGGTGTGGTGCCACTAGCTACGGCAGCTTCTGTTTCGCTCTGGGACACCTGTTCTGCCTCGTCCTCTCCAAGATCGAAAGCCGCTTGCAGGCATTGGATGGCCACTTCAATACTTTCGCTCTGATCCGGCGACATCACATCCACTTGCTTCTTCAGATAGTCAATGAAAGAGCGCACAAAGCTCTGCTGCACTGCGTCCGGCATTTTTGCTTTTACTTTATATTGTTTATATTACTACAAATTAAAATTACTTATGTGGCTCTCTGAACATGCGACTGGATTTATAGAGGCGAACCAAATGTCTAGGGCTGCTGTATTCCTTAAAAGTGCCTGTAGGTGTTGCCAGACTGTCAGGGTTAGCAAATGACAAGCAGATTTCGGCTTATCGTTATCGAGCGCGAGAAAAACTCGTTTTTGTTGTTAACGTTGTTGTTGTTGCTTTCAAAAGTTTTCAGAACAGTAAGCTTTAAAGCTTTTTGGGTAGCATGCAGCAAAAGACTTTTCAGTTAGACGCTATCTGGCCCTGCTGGCGTTGGCGTATTTAGGCTCTGTGCGCGTTTTACCAACTTGTTGTTATTGTTATTGTTGTTGTCGTGGCGGAATTATTGTTGCTGTGTGTTTATAGAATAGCAAAACGCAGTGATTATTCAAAATTACTTTTGAACATATGTTGAGGCATTGCCAAAATTAGAAGTCTGCTGCCTCAGAGTGTGATTTACTTCATCAGTGTGTATGAGTGTGTGTGTGTGTTATTTTTTTGGGAGCTTGTTTCAGTGACGTCAGGCTTCCTTTTTGTATAATCCTTTGGCTGCGAGTTAGCTTGACTCATTCTGTGGCGCCGCCATGGTGCGTTGGAGTGCACGTTCGCGTCGAGCGCGACAGGACCAGGTGGAGTTGCTTGCGAGCAACAACAGAATTGGCGAGGATGATAACTCCGATAACGGTAAGCACGCGAAAAATAACAGTATTTTAAACTGTAAGTTGCTTTAGGCAATAACAAAAGACATTAATATTCCCTGTATGCATGTCGTGCTTATATTGTACATATAAGTTAATTTTTTATTCGCTCTTCTCCTGCAAATTATTGCGGATATATAATATGCTGTTTACATGACCTGCCTTCTTTTCCACCTTTAGCTGCCTTTCGCAATTCAACTGATCTTACGCACACTGATGATATATTTCTAAAGGGCCTATTGCTGAGCAATCCAACAACGCCTCACAAGGAGCTTATGGTATGTATGTATGTACGAATGAGCGTGTACATAGTATGTAAATTAAATCGAGTGTGCACACACGCTCACCCCTTGTTCTTTGGCGCATGACCCAGTTGTAGAATCATTTGTAGTCAAACCATCTGCCAATAAAAAAAGAAGAAACTGATGTACCGTATTTTATTTTCCACATTATCGAACATGCATACTGGCACGCAGTGCCAGACAAGAAAAATCTTTGTTTACGCCATTGATACGTGCGTGCATACACTCAGAGAAAAACTGTAACTATAAAAAATTGTCGACTAGAAGATAATTGATAGTAAAACAAAAGTTTAATTACTATGAGCATATTTAGTAAATTATAGTTTTATTCATTTTATATTAACTACTGAACTATATATATATTTACATTTTGTTGTATGTTGTCTTTTGTTTTCTTTACTTGGGTTTCTTAATTTTTTTTTTTTTTTATTGTAATGATGTAATTTACCTTCTACTTTACGCTCGATTACATACTGTGCTCGAAAGTAAAAGGGTCAGGGATGAGAATTTGCCATGCTTTTACTCGAAACAATAACGGTACATCGCTATGCTGAGCTACAAAGCCGGGCATATACTTGGTCTCTCTTTTGTTCTGCTTTATTAAGTGCGAAGCACTTGATGCCACTTGTGTTTATTGTGAGCGGAGACTTTTACGATAATCATTATGGCATAGCTATTAACACAATTCCCCTCTCTCTTTCTCTGGCACTCGCTCGTTTGTTAATACATTAAACTTGACCCCAAATTTTATGCGAATAAAATTATGAAAATAATTGAATAATAAGCTGGACAGAATTAAAATGATTTGCTTAAGTAATATAAGTATTAATAACTTCTAGTGTGTAAGAAATTTGCAGTAATATACTAATAAGAAATGTTCACAAAATTGTAGATTAATCATTTATGGCCTTTTGCTTTGTTATTTTTGGCAAACCTGTTAAAAAAAATCACAACAGTCAATAAGCACACGAAATAAAATAATCAAAAGCGACATCGCGTGTCGTAAATAATTAGAATAAGCATTTTGGCATGGATGGGAGGGGATCTATGCCTCAATGGTTGTAACACTGCTGACCTGCTATTGGGAAAAGTAGTGAAAGTAATTAGAAATTACAAGTCACGAGACTTGCTGATAAGCGAAATACCACATATGAAATGTCACTCTAAAATTCCAGTTGCCTATTAAAGCGTCGCATATAAAAAGCACGCAACAGACGACGACAGCGACGTCAACAGCAACGCCCTAAGATAAAAAAGTGGAATCGAAGCTTTACAAACCGGTTTTAAAAATTGCTTTTCAAGTAAATGCGCATGCATGTGTTAATTATGAAAAACTTTATGCTACCTGGCCGCAATAACAGCAGCAACAACGTCAACAAATGCAACAGCAACAGAGTGGTTGGCCTACTAATGCAGCAGCAACAGAAATAACAGCAGCCCAATAACAAAAGCTCAGAGAGTGGCTTCAGCTGAGTCACTGTTAACTAACAGTGCTCTTAACAGCGGCGTACAGTTGTAACGTAAATACTCAGAAACACAAAAACAAGTGTGCACCAATACAAATGCGCCCTGCTAAGAGCGCCAACTAAGCTCACGTACGACTGGAGACTTAGCCCTAGAGCGCGCTCTCACTCTCATGGCGTGCACACCCAACTCTGCTCAGCTGAACTTGGTTTTGCTGTGAGTCAGTCAGTTAGTTACTTACGAGCTGTGCTAAGGTGAGGTTCTGTTTTTTCGTGCGCCGTGTGGTGCGTTTGTCTGTTTACTCACTGTGTACGTGTGAACGTGTGTGTATGTGTGTGCGCTTTGCTTATTTGAGCATGGCTTAAACGGGAGGCAGCGACTCAACAAACATGCAACAGTTCGTTCGCTCTCTCGCTTGCTCTCACTTACTCGCGCTTCCG